GCCCTGTGCACTGAACATATGATACTGCATATTTCGCATGACAGATGTGAAAGAACGATCGACGCAGTGTGTGAGTGTGTCCGAGGCTCCATGTTTCACCTCCCTGAGGATACGAAGGACCGTCTCCACGCAGGCGGAGTGCCTCGGACTCGTGGCCGTCATTGCCACTTGTCAGGCCGGAAAGAGAGTGGGAGGGATGGGAGCCTGATGTGGAGGTGGTCCTGCCGCCCAGGCGTGGGTGAAGTGCGTCGTTTCCCCTCAGAGGTCTGGCTGTCAGGAGGCAACATAGACGTGTGTCGTCAAGGAGTCATGACGGATTCAAATGGGAACGCAGCCCTGGCCTCGTTCGGCCAACTTGCTATTTCAAAGCATGACATCCATCCTCACCTTTTTCCCCCTCCCTGCGGTCGTATTCTCTTTTTCCCCTTCCCGGTAGATCATCGCTCAGGCGATGTCGTGTGTCGCGGTTGCGGGGAGGTGCAAGCGGAACGATTGGTGGACTTGGGCGCCGAGTGGAATCGATACGATGACAACGACGGGAAGGGCGACCCTTCCCGCGTGGGAGGGGAACTGGGGGGTGTCGCCTCTCGGATTTGGGGCGGCGCGTCCGCCTCTGCGCCGGGCGGGAGAGGGAGCCAGGGCATGGGAAAGAAGCGCAAGGGACAGGGGTCCGCCATGACGGGCGCAGAACTGGCGAACAAGAAGAGCCGTGCCCAATCCAAGCTGGAAAAGGTGTGCATGTTGCTCTCGGACGCGGTCCGATCCCTTCACTTGGACGAGCGCGTCACGCAAGTGGGTTTCACGGTGGCGGACGCAGCCAACACGGAGGGCGCTTTCCGCGGAAAGGCGGAGAATACTCTGGTGGGCGCGATCTTGTACCTGTCATGTAAACATTGTGGGGTGCTGAAAAGTATCGCGGAGGTCTGTGCCCAGCTGGGGTTGAACAAGTTCGATGTGGGCCGGGTCATCAACGATATCTCGCGGAAGGTCAAGTCTCTGGAGGCGGTGGTCTTCTCCCCCGAAGACGTGGTCGACAAATACGGGGGACAGCTGCGCTTGCCCCTAGGTTTGCGTGCGGCCGCGGTAGAGGTGATGAAAGCCGCGAAAGAGATGCCCGGACTGGAAGGGTTACATCCGCAATCTTTAGCAGGTGCGGCACTTCTCCTTTTGAGCAACACCAAGGTGGCTCCCCATCTTGTCCTAAATTCAGCAGCTGAGGAGAAAGGCATGATGAAAATTGAGGTCAAAGACGAGGATCTTGCGAGCCAAGCGCTTCCTGGGCTCTTCCCGCCCCCTCAACGATCACTGGAAGACGTGACAGGCGCGACCCTCATGTCTACCGGGACGATCAAGCGGGCGCATTCCTTGCTGTACGAGCATCGAGAAAAACTGGTGCCGGTTGCATACGCAGCTCAAATGTTTAGCCATCGCTTAGAGTTGCGGGCAACTTCGGAGCTCAAGTGAACGGCTGTGAGGAGCAGATCTCGAGAAGCAGAGGGGATTGTTGGAGGGAAATGTTTATTAAGGAGGTCTTGTACAGAGAAATTTTGGGACAGGATGCAAACTTGTTGACTAACTCGCGAGCCGACAGCAATTATTCATATGACAAATGAACGACGAAGGAGCCGACTTGTATTTTGTTCATTTCAGTTTTATTTGCTTAACTCGTGCGTACGTCTTTCCATCAAGCTTGGAATTTACAGTGGAGATAAAAACAAGGGTAAACTTAGACGCGACGTGGCTGTGGCACTGATACAGCCGGGCCAGGAGCGGACGATCGTGACTGCTCATGCGACTGTTCGCCGGGTGGCACGTGTGGGATTTTCTCGAGCCTCCGCCGCACCACATCAAAGGGTTTCTCCTCTCTTCCCAGCGTAGGATCTGGCGTTTGTAGGAAGCCAACGACGGGGGATGGGTGGTGCTTCTCCAGCTCTCGGAGCAGAAGCAGGAGGCGTTCTGCCATGTAGAAAAGGCATCCATCTGACTCAACAGCGTTCAACACACCGGTCTCGAGAGGCCGCTGGTGGAGAGCAGAGAAAGCCTGGGGTGCCGCCAATGGCGGCTCTTGCTCGCCCGGCGGCTGCTTGCGGAGCTGATGTTTTTTGTGTTTGCCTTTCACCTTATCCGGTGGTTGCGGGGGCGACGAAGCACCTTCCGGAGGGCACTGACTGGCTCGTTCCTGTGCGGCAAGGAGCCTTAGATACGTGGACGACAAGGCCATGATTTCCTCTAGGCGCCCCAAGCCCCCGGAGGAGGATGCTGACACGTAGGCAGCCATGCACGACGCAGGAACTTCCATCACAAGGTCGAGAACGGCACGCCACAGCTGTGGACGGAAGGAGAGACCCCAAAACGTGGCGCGCACACGCCGTGGCAGACAAAGCTCGACGGCGATGGAGGAGAGTGGCCCGGAGGGGCATTGGAGCGCCGAAGCGGGTGCAGCTTCATTTTTGGAAGCAAACGTTGCAAGGAATATCTCATTTCCTCCGCAAGCTGACGAGGTGGGTGGAAGGGGTGGCTCAAAATGGCCGGAGCCGTCTTTCACCGGTGGTGGACGAGGAAAGTAGAAAGGGGCGCGCACGACGGGTCGATCAGTGTCAGGGCTCGCATCCACGGTTAGTATTTCCGTCAGGGCAGGAATCGTCTGCAAGATCAAGTAAGGATGAGAGTGGGCGAGCTCATGCAACCGGTAGACAACGTCGCTGTCGCGCTGTGCGTTCAGACCCAGGCGGCATAGATGGGCCACATCGTCAGGCAAGCTCTGGTCCATCGCACTGCGACACGGTCGACGCTGCAAAGCTGCGCCTTCGCACAAGGCACGCACCATCAAATTAGTATCACGATACTCCCCCCGCCCACGTATGGCGGCATCCGCGGGGAATGCCATGTACAGTCGATAGACAATGTAGGCCTCACAAGAGGAGGGTGTCGTTTTGTCCTTAAACAAGGAGAGGAGCTGTTGCATAAGCACTCGCCGGAAAGTAGAATGTCGATCTGAAAGATGGATGCAGAGAGCTGCGATGGATTCGTGGAAGAGCAGCAGATGCTGCGTAGGGCCGTCCCTGGACGAGTGATGTCTTTCGGCGCCCATGTTTCCCGGCAGACCGTTGAGGAGGGCCAGGCCCTGACAGACCAGCTTGAGCACTGTGTCCAAGTCCCCCGGCGCTAAAGAAAGAGTTGCCCCATCCCTTACCAGGAAAGGGTGTCCAGACTTGTCACTTAACCCCTGAGCTGACAGAGAAACCAAAGGGGAAGTAGTGGATGGAATGGTCCGTGCTGCCGCTGCCGCAGCCAAGCCCTGACGAGTGCCCGGGGAGAGCCCAAGCTCGGCCACCATGGGACTTTGACCAGGTCTGCAGAACCATCGGTTCAGTAACGATAAGGCTACATACACGTCGAAAGGAGGACTCTCTACACTGCCGTCGCCGCTCGCGCCCGCGAGATTTGCCTTGCCCGAATCCTTGAAAATGCGCTGGACCAGGGGTTCCAGCTCGTCCACGGAGAAAGTTTCGAGCACCTGCGACAAAAGTGCGTGCCGCACATTGCTACAACTACCCGTGTATGGCGTGGACCGGCAAGAAAGGAGCAGATCCCAGATCAAGCCCTGACAGCGGGCGCCCAATCCCTCTTCGTCAACCGCCAGCCAATGCATCAGACAGACTTGGCAAAGCAATTTCGCGATTAAACGTGCTCCTCCTTCCTCGATCGAGCTATCTTCCCCTTCCTGACCTGTGCCCACCGAGAACGCCGTCGATCGAATGCAACGGTGCAAAAGCTGGACGATGTAGCTCACTTCCACCAACTGCTCTTCCCCATCGTGTGCGTATTTGGAATGCCATCGCCAGCGGCCCATAGGACCCGTTACGAACTCGGAACCGAGTGAGCAGGCCACTTGAGACAACACGTGGAGTAACTCGGCTCTTGACGCCTCCGTCGCGGCCGAGAGAGCGCGATTAATTAATTTATTGAGCGAGGATCTTCCTTCCCCATCACGGGAGTCCTTCTCCTTTTTTCTCATCTTGAAGGGCAGCATAAAGTCGACAATACTTTGCTCAGCATCTGCTGGAACTACCGGAAACTTGCATGGTGTTTCTATTCCGGAACTTGAATAAGTCAAAATTCCACTATCTCCCCTTTCCTTGCTTGGTGCTGCCTCAGGTAGTGCTTCTTCCTGTTCCATATCGAGAGTCAGTCCTCTAACGCTTTCCAACAGCATGTGATTTGTGGTCGTACGGTTCCTCGTGGAAGGAAACGTTGAAGGCCCTCCTCGGCGTCTCGTCGGTGAGTCGTCCCTCTTTGGCACATCGCTCGGTTCGTTGCGAGCCAAGGTTCGGGCCGACACTGCCGATGGCACTTCGTGGGAGAGCCAGGAGCAGAAATTGCCTGCGCAGGTCGCTCGTTCACTCTCATTCCTTGGTGCATGCAATTGAATGTAAGCAGTTATATGCCGCGCTAGTTTCCTCAAGAGCGAAGGCTGCATGTTCAATGACCGTGAGCCCTGTCGTGTCGCCTCCGAGCTGGACCAAAGAAGCTCGCGGTAAACGGTTTCTGCCTTCTTCGCCCCCTTGCTCAATTCCTCGATCCGGGACAGTGCAGCATAGAAGCTGTCACGAGAGAGACCAGAGCAGAATATAAGAGTGGGAAGGAAAACGTGCGGCATGCAGCGCGCTGCAGCGGCCGAGATGACATGAGATTCACATTTGACCAGGCCTATCCATTCCTCGGGGCCCAAGGCTGCCCTTTCCCCTTCGTCCCTCTCCATCCCATCGACGTCAGCAGCCGCGTCCGAGACCTTTGAGGCGCCAGAAGCTCCCAACAGACGGCCATCTGGTGCGTTCACCGCAGAGGGGAAGAGTAGACCCAGTAATTGCTCCAAGACCGGGGGTATCGAGCTTCCCTTGTGCATGCTCATGAGGGAGAAGCATGCAGCGAGGAGAGTGTCGGGAAGGAGGACATTGCGGGGTCCAGAGAGATCATCGCAGGAAAGGCAAAGCCGCGCAAGGTCGCAGCTTTGCCACACGCGCTTGGCGTGTTTGGATTGAGTTGTCGTTTCCTCGTCATGGGTTGTGCACTTTTCGCCGGGAGTCCCGAGAGAATCTCCCTGCGCACACGCACTCTCTACCAGTGTCGCCGTCACCTCCTCTACCAAGACACGGCGCAGGAAGGGCGTGTGCTCCATTGCGGCTTGAACCACCAATTTTCGAGATATGAGCACTGTCGACGCGACAAAGCTGAAGAAAGAAGGGCTGCGAAACGATCCATTGAGTTTGTAACCTCGCCCCTTGGTTTTTGACCGCCGGATCCTGAATCGGTCCCCTGAGGCGGCCGCAGGTCCGTGGCAGTGGAAGAGTAGCCCCAAGAGATAGTAGCTGATAACGTGATGTGAGGCTTCCACCTGCAATGCCTCGTACAATGCACGCAACGTAACCGCCGGTTTGCTCCGAAAGCAGGGTAAATCTTGCAAGTGAAACATCCACGCGCAGTGCACTTGGGAGGCCCTCGCCACAAAGGCCGGCTCCCCCATTCGGACGGCCAGGTCTGTGCCGACCCAGGCATCACCCTGGGCGTCCACCATGCCAGCTTCCGCCACTCTCTTACTCCTCTCGGGGCTGTGAACGAGCAATTCGTCCAGGGCCCGGCGGGCGGCCGCTCGCCGCAGAGTTTCCACGGCGCGCAGCTCATCCGTAAAGACAGAAAGGGCCCTCGAGGCTCTCTCCTCCACCTCAGAGCTCAAGACCGCGCTGCTTCTCTCACCCGCACCGGCAACCGTCGGCTCGCATTCCTCAAAGAGTCGGTCCAAGATGATTCGCCGCATCGGGCCCAAGAGTGTCTGCAGGGCGCCTCGTACCGCACTTGCAGGCGTTCCCTCGCCCCGCTCATTTCCCGACTGACCCAATGGATGCTGCCGCGGTTGTGCGTGCCCTTTTTGAGACGTCTTCATATGCGCAATCATGTACATATGACATATGCATTCCAGAGGCAAACGCCTCAGTGTCACCTGTGGTTCGGCTGCGACTGCAGGTGCCAACCACTCCATTGTCGTCATAAGCATCCGACGCGACACGCCGCGGGAGCCATCGCCCGCAATGGCTGCCGCCACAAAGTCTGGTTCCGTCGCCCGGCGTAAGCGTGCCCCGATTCCAAACTCTGCGTTCAAGGCTTTCAGCCGCTCGATCACGTCGGCTGGAGGCGTTCGGGGAGGCATGCTCAAATCAAGGAAAATGAGGGAGAGAAGAGGTTTGTTGTCAGGCACATCACCTTCCCCGGCACGGTTAACATTTAGACGTTTTCGTTTCTTGCCCGTGCGCCGCTCACCCCGGAGCACTTTGCTCAAGACTGCTTCCTCTTCCGCGAGTTCCGTATCTGCAGCCATTATCTGCCCTTCAGCTCCTCGCACATCTCCAGAGCCCCCACCAAAAGCCCCGCTCAGGGACCCAACGGACGTCCGTTTCTTGATTCCATTCCTCCTTGATCCTTTGTCGCCCCCGTCTGCGGTCAGGACGGCGCCCGGGGGGGGGAAGTGATACTGATTGCACACCACCATCTGCATCAAGCACCGCGTGGTTGGACAGTGCCGCCACAGCCATTGCCCCACGGATGACGGGTTGCTCCCACTCACAAGGAGCAAAAGCAAAGCCACGCGCCAAAATATCTCCGAATGGGCCAAGGGGGGTACCTGCTCAGGCGTTAACCCTCTCCGAGCCAACAACTCGTCTCCCGGATCGTAGCGGGCAAGTCCGAACAAGTCGCTCACAATACCCGCCCCGTCCGCCTCCTCTTTTCCGAATTCCAGTTCGACCCCCGGTTTGATTGCATCCTCCCAATCGGCCTTGGCCACTCTTGGGTCCGCCTCCCTACGCGCCACCAGGCGGCCGGCCCGTCGCACCAAATCCTCCACCTGCTCCAGGACAGCCGCGCGACCTCCCCGAGGTCTGCCCGCGGCCAGGCGCGTCAAGGCGACCAATGCACGGCAGGTACTTCCTTGGACGCCCACGTAGCGTGCTAGGAAAGCCTCGGGAGACTTGTCGTTTCTTTCAGGCTCGGCCAGGGCGCTAGGGGAGAGGAGAAGCACCTGGCGAAACAGCGCAAGGCCATCCCCGTGGGGGGGGGGAACGTCCGAGGGGGCCGAGGGCGGACCGGGAAGAGAGGCTGAGGACGTGGTAAGGTGCGGCAAAAGGCCCTGTGAGACGTGCAAGGCGAAGCGAGCGACATAGGAATGGATGGCGGCAATGTCCCGGACGGTCCACAGGCGGAGCCGCCAGTGCTCGTAGTGCTTCTGAGTCAAAAGCTCCTCCTCCGTGGCCGAGCCCGAATTTAATATAGCTCGTTTGGCCTTGGCATGCTGCTCGTTCCAGATTTTACCCCTGTCCAGACAGACCTGCGCTCGGTACCGCAATAAGGCTGTGACGGTCTCCGTTACTGTCCGCAGAAACTCTCCGCACCCGTGCCTGAGCGTGGACAGCGTGTCGGGGGAAAAATGCAGGAGCTCCTCGACCAAAGGCAACATGTCCACGTAATCGAGCGTCAAAGTTTTGACCACGCTAAGAAGTGCGTCCTGCACGCGGGAGCCTGGCTGCTCCCGCATAATCCCCCTGGCCCCGCGAGCCAAGTGCCGTCCCACCTCATCCCGCGTGAGCCAAGGTGCCGACGCCACAGGCCCTGGCATCCCCCCACCGGCCCCGGGGCCATGAGTCCAGCCCGCGGGAGAAGCTGTTACAGGCAAGGGCGTAGAGGGGGAGAGCGACGCGCCAGGCGTCGCAGTCTGCCCGACCGCCCCCAGGGCCTGCCGTAAGATGTGGGCCAAAATTTTGTCGGCATCGGGCCGCGCCCCCGTGACAGCGTCGGACATAAAGCACGCCACCGTCAGCTGTAGATATTCCGGCGCTTTCCGGACCACCACAGCCATGCTCTCTTCGTAAAGGAGGGCCTGTTGTGCCGGGAGTTGGAGGTGGAGGAGCCTGGAGACAAGGCCGGTATCCTCCGCCCTCAGGGGGTCCGCCGCCTTGGCCATGGCCCTCAGCAAAGTCCGGGCATTCTTGCTGGTCGCTGGCGACTCGAGCCAGAGCTGGAGGTGCTCCGAGGCCAGGCGTCGACAGGCGGCCAACGGGGCCAGCTCGACCAGGGTGGCGATCAGGGGCCAGAGGGAACCGTACGCCTGCGACTCCAAGCGCTCCTGGACCGCTCTCAGAAGCAAAAGATGCGCCTTTTCCGAGCCAGCACTGTAGCGAGGATACACCCGCGGGAGTACCTCTTCGGGAGGGCCGTCGAGACTAAGCGCCCTACCCTCCCTGCAGGCGGGGTTCAGGATCTCGTGCCCCCCCCCGGGACCCGGCGCCTCCGGCCCGCGGGCAGGGGCTGCGAGGACGCCCACCACCGCCTCCTCCAGCACCTCCTCGTCCCCCGAGTCCGAGTCGTCCGAGCAAATGCTGCCACTGGCCTCCGCCGTACCCTTTGCCCCTCCCTTGGCCCCTGCTTCCTCCCTTTCCTTTTCCGCGGAGGACCCGACCAGAGAGGGCGCCAGAGGGGGGGGCAAGGCCAATGGAGGGAGATGAGGCAGCAAGCCGTCGGTCCCTGTGTTACTGTGGAGAGGCTGTCCGGGTGTGGAAGAAGGCGTGCCTCGCAGGGAGGAAGAGCTGCTGCCAAGTGAAGGCGCGCGTGCACGAAGCCAAGGAGATTCGTGCGAGGCGACCGCCGAGTTCCAGCCCGTGCGTAGATTGGCAATAAAGGTGCGACAGCCATAGTCTACATACTCGTCCACCCATGCACGAGGGCCCAGCGTATCCTCCATGTATACTTGCAGGAGCGCGAGGGGCCACTGGGGGCAGTCCCGGAATGCCCGGAGTAAGACATTGCACGCCAGCCGATGAAGCAAAAAGCCTGCACGTTGAGCATTTGCCGAGCGCGAGCTTTCGGTAGGCCGCAGCCAGTCGATTATTATCGGCAAAGTTGTAGTTGTGTCCCTGAAAAGTTGTGGTTTTGCTTTTACTGCGCACATAAGTGCCACACTGGCGGCGGAGTGGGGGCCTCCATCCACCGAGCCTGCAACGCATCGACAAAGCTGTGTCGCCGCCCTTTGAAGGGAAGGTAAGTCTTCTTGGCCACCCGCCTCGATGACATGAACGAGATCTTGAACAAGTGATGGCGGAGACGGGTCCATTCTATTTATTTTTTAAGGCCAAGCTCAAGTTGCACGGGGGGGGGGGCAAGGCTCGCCTGCAGATCATTATGCTGTCGATACTGTTGCTCCCGCGCCGCAACGCCTTGACATCATTTTCCACAACGCTCACCCTATTGGTACCAGCTGCATCAAGATCGAGAAAAGATGACATTTAGGACCTAAAAGCATTTTTCGTTCGCCATCTGGACGTGGACTCGGCCAACAAAAGGGAGATATCAATGCTTTTACTTGACTCGCTCAAGAAGCATCGCTCAAGAGAGGCGATAGCTCGTACCGCCCGAAAACCGCGCGGTCCATCCCCCGCTTCCCGACGACAGCAAGGCCTTCGCGTGTGTGTCTTTCACGAATGCCCCTTTTATCCACTCGACATCGCAGGGACTCTAACAGTTGGCCACCAGGACCACTAGGGTTCATTATGCAGAAAAGAATGGTGAACGCATCCTCACGCTTGAGGCACCGGGCCTTCGTCTTCCTTCGCATTTTCCTAATGATGTTGCTCCTGTCCCGAAATGCATGCAAGGCCGAATTCTACGTAGTGATACAACCGGTACGTTTCTTGCCCCGGTATTGTCTCGGAAATGTTGAAATCAAACAAACAAGCAAAACCTACTTGCCCGCGACTCACGCCTCACCAAAACCGCCTCCCTATGTACTCTCAATGTTTCAGTCTGGAAACGAGCAATGTTTCATGATTGAGCAACCACAAGGTACACCGGTCACAGTGGATTACGATCTCCCCGCATATGCGACCCAGAGCCTCAACTTAGTGATCAGCTTGGTGTCGGGGCCTGGCGGGAAGGGAGGCGGCGGGAAAATGGTCCAACAAGTGCAAATGAACGAGGAAAAGGGCCAGTTCAAGTTTGCCACAGTGAAAGATGGGTTCCACTCCCTCTGTATCGTACCTCACACTGTGACCAAGCCCACGAAAGTGGGTCTAGAGGTCACGTACGGAAAGTCCGACGCATACTATGCTGACCTGGCGAAAGAAGCGCACATCGACCTGTTGGAGGCCTCCATCATGCATTTGAACGCGCAAATGGGTCAGATTCTAAACGAAGCGGACTACATGAAAGACAAGGAAGTCCTCTTCCACCAGCAATGCGAGCGGACGAACTCAGCGGCGCGATGGTGGCCTATTTTGCAAGTGGGCATCCTCCTGGTCACGGGCGTGCTCCAGGTCAACAACCTCAAACAGTTTTTCAAGGCGAGGAGATTGGTGTAGACCGACTCACGGCCTTGCAGTGCTCGAAACAGATCCAAGGAGGATGCAGATAGGGGCGCTGTCGGGGGCGGGGGCGAGGGCGGAGGGGATGTAGGGCTTTCATGATCGAGTTTGGGTAACGGGCGAGGTTCGCCGGATGCGTGTACAGTACGGAACGGAATATATGCGACGCCAATGACATTTCGTCCTCCTCCTTTTGGGATGCTTTGAAGAGAGTAAGGAGGGAGGAAGCGAGAGACAAAGGAGGGTTAGGGTTACGACAACGCCTGCCGCCAAAATTGAAATGTTTTTTACTTTCACAGTTTGGGTCTTTCCACTGGAATGATCTTTACTGTCGAATGCGTGTCTCGTTTCACATGTCCTCGCTTTCTTCCTCCCCCCCCCCGCCTCTCCTTGTCCTCCTCCCCGTCCGGACAACCCTGGCACGGTCTTCCTCACTCAGCAACGCTTCCTCTTCCTCCTCTGTCTGTCTCCTCCTTCCATTTCGCATCGCCTCTTCCCACACGCGTGCGAACACATCCCCGTCGCCCCCCTCGCCTCCCCCGTCGCTGTCAAAAATCTGGCTATCACCTTCCTCCTCCTCACCCTCCCTGAAACCCATGTCTGGTCTCACATATTCCTCCCCTCCGACCCCTTCCTCTTCCCAAAACCCTTCATTTCCTTCCATCTCCTCCCCCATCCCGCCCCTTCGCCTCGCCCTGCTCGCCAAGAAGGCTTTAAACGGCACCTTGTCGATGTACGGGTACTCGCCCACCCAGGCCCCGCAGTCTGGTACAAAGACGTCCGAGACCCCCATCAGCTCATCGAAGTCGGGCGACTCGCTCAAGACCAATCCCTCGCACCGCATCCCTGGCCGCACTTTTTTGTAGCTGGGTAAGATTGGCGCGTAGACTCGCAGCTTCCGCCCCGATTCGTCCTCCATGGACATGACCAGGGCCTCGGGCCGGTTGTACTCCCTCGCCTGCCGGATGCGGCCCACGCGCACGACCCTCCCACTAAAGAGCGCGCCAAAGACGCCGTCGTCGCGCGGGGTCCGGGCGAAGTAAGTGCCGCGGAAGCTCACGTTCCGCCGGTAGGCAGCCAAGCCCGGGGCCAAAATCCAGTAAAACAAGAACACCGTGCCCAAGACTGTGGCTGCGGGCAGGCCGATCAAGAATGTCAGAAACCAGCTCGTCCAAAGCCCGAAGAACGTCGCAGAGGCAGCTTCGTAGATCTTGCCGAACTTGTCGCTCTCCGTGATGCCCCAGTAGTATTTCCACTGGTCCCCCGTGAATTGTGAGGGAAGAAGCCGACGCAGCGTCCGATCGCGAAGAACTGTAAGGCTACAGGAGGCAAGACCGCGGGAACGGTGGCGTTCTTGGGCAATATTTCGGACCTGAGGAGCTGAAGTAATATGGCCCCTGCCCCTTGAGGAATAGGCGGGATGGCTGAAGGCCGGCACCATGCAAGACGAAACGGGACGAGCGGGTACACAGATGTAAGCGGACATTGGAAGGGTGTGAAGAGGCGGCCATGCAATGCGGAGTGGAATGCCCTGTGCGAAGGGCGACAAGCGGGGCAGAGCGACGGCAATGAGCGAAGGTGAAGGGGGGGTAGGAGATTATAATAGTATATTTTATAGAAAAGTCATGACGAGGGGAAGCCGGGACAACAAGCAACAGCTAATTATTTTCAATGCACGAATTTTGACGCTTGGATGAAACGGAAAAACAGGACATGAGCAAGAAATTTGCCCACTTACTACGAGACCGCTGCCGCAGGTTGGCGGCATCGTATGAGGGCAACGGTGACGACGATGACAGCTCTAACCAGTCCCGCGAATATCTCCTGCCTGCGACACTCGTCAGTTTCTCCTGTTGTGTGGTATCGAGTGTTATGTTCGTTCGCAATGTAGGAAAAGCGTCCTTGAAGTGACCGTAAAGGTCACCTGTTCCCCTCGGCCGTCACTCACCCCGTCTGCTTGGTGTTTCTCGATCGAGAGAGACGTCGCAGGAGGGCAGTCGAAGTGAACACAAGGGAGCCAAAGCTTTGAACCAGAATACGAGCACGATTCAGTTAAGCTCTTGTTTCACTCTGCCGTGATAGGTAGGTTTGTAATTTTGATTAAATCATCGATTTTATCATCAAATTTGGATTCGCGGATAATTTACGACATGAAAGGATCTCTGGGCGCGAGTGAATATCATCGGAAGACGTCAAAATCGATCACAATAGACTCAATCTAAAACCACCAGCTCTTCATGATCCAGAAGGGAAAAAACGCACGGTATAATTTGTATATTGATTGCCTGTTTGTGCAGGTTTTCCGGAATATGTTCATTAACTATCAAGATGGCGGCGCCTGCGCCGGACTACTTAGTCATTCCTCGTCGGTACAGAAATGACAACTACTCTCCTACAACGCCATTCTCGATAACAATTTTAATCTGTGAGCAGCGAAATCTTTAGGGGATACCGGCGAATACCGGTTGAACACTTTGTAAGGTGAAGAGAAACATTTATCGTTTGTGAAGACTTGAAATTTAGGATTATTTCGTTTCATGAGGTGTCGACTCGCATGAAGATAAATTTAATTTGTCGGCAGAACATTTTTGTTCCTTAAAAACATGTTTAAGAATCTATTTTCCTCCAGGAAAGCTGCCAAGGTGCGTATTCCTTTCCAGGTGACGAGGACAACTATGGGCTCAGAAACATTTTCGGACGATGGCATAATTAGGTCGATATGAACTCAAAACCTTGCATTACAGACTGTCGAAGATTTGTACGAAGACACAAGCAGATATGACTAATTTATAGCTCTTTCAGGCGCTTTTAAGCATCTAGGCTAACTTCTTCTTCATGGGCGGGATCGCAAGGGGACAATTTGAAGAATGAAACAGGCCTACTCTGCTGTTCCAAAGCTAGATGCTATGACGCCGCTGTGATTAAATCTTATTTCTCAGATAACGCCACATTTTGGGGTATATTTGTGTCACAATTGTCATTTGACTGTTCCGATCTGAGCTTTTTCTGTCATCGCCATGCTCGCTCCTCGCTGTGGCCCCCTGATCGTCTCGCGGACCGTGCTAAATAGGACCCCACATGTGTTCCCGTGCCTATTATCCACCGCCAAGCATCTTTTTCGAATATTTACTCATATATCCTGGTGAAACTTGTCAAAATCGTGAAAATAAGCCCTTTGTGTGCGGGTTTACTGGCTTTACTTCTGAAAGAGGAGAAGAAGAGGGGGAGGAGGTCGACGGAAAGTCGTGAGCTTTGAATTTGTGCCTCCTCCCTCGAAAATTGTCACACAACCGGTATTCGTTATGCATATGGGGCCCGCAACCGATAATCAAGTATAATCACTGTCAGCTTATGCTATGTAGCTTTTTGTGGCACGAATTGGCCAATTTTACGGCTGGGTCTTCATGTGGCACGTATGTCCTGCTGATCTGATCGATCAAGCCATTTCTTCTGGCATAACTGGCCACTCTTACACTAATGTGCGCTCATCTGACACCTTTCGCTGATGACACCATCAATAGATCAGGAGCTCCAAACTGTTGTTGAGAAGTGTAACACGCAGCAAGACCATGCTGCCTGTTTTGTTTGTTCTGTCTGCTGTGGTCTTGAACAGAGCCTTCGGGTTTCCTAGCACCATTATAGAGGCTACCGATAAAGGCAATCCTCCGATTCCATGGTCGTTTGGGGCGGAGAAGAGCTGGGACGCTCGTCGCGGACTCGTAGATGGCCAAGATGCCGTTTGTGACGCAATCAGCGACTGCACTAGTTGTTTTCAAGAAGCAGGGTGCGGGTATTGTGGGGGAACCGGCCGTTGCCTCGCGCAAGCGAGCGCTGATAAGTGCAGCAAAGGGTGGAGCGACACAGGCATCTGTTACACATCCTGTCCTGCGGATGCAGCACCATTGCACGAGGCTGCAGGCGTCATCCAGTTCGGGGCAATGGCCCCTGGGGCGGTGCACTATATCCCGGGGGAGAGCTGCACCTTCACCATCTGGCCTTTGCCGGGCAGTGGCTCCGCGACCAGCCCGGGTGCCGGGGCAGGGAATCGTCGGTCTGTCATGATTCGGTTGCAATTCGAATACCTGGATTTGGGTCCCGGGGATACCTTGAACATCTACAGCAATGGTTTGGACGGGCCCAAGATCCTCAGCATTGCGGGGTCAGGCCTCGGCATCGTGAACCGAACCATTACCAGCCGCTCCAGCTCGGTGGTTTTGCGCCTCCATGCGGAAGGTCCCGTGGGCGGGACGGGGTTTCGCGTCTATTGGCGGGTCATTGAAAGCTCGCCTTTGGATATTTATTTGATATCAGCGATCATAGGTGGGTGTGGGCGGGTGGGAACTCCATGGTTGTCTTTGGGGGGGGTTGCTGGGAAGCAAAGGTGTTGAATGGTGATCTGTCTGGTGTCGATGCTCCCGATGATCATGGATCGAGAAGCATGATTGGGGCCATGGAGTCCCTAGGACGTCAAGATATGGCAAAGCGCTCGTCTGATTCCACGCCCATATCCACACATGAACACATCCCCACCTATGCGAACGCCACGTACCCAGTCACCTCCATCCTCACGTGCATCCTCTGCTCCTGTTGCTGCAACAACTGCGTGGCCATGTTCTCTGGTGCCGGCGGTGGGCGGCGGGGAGGGCGGCTCCTTTGGGCATGGGGAGGGGCCAACGCGAGCGCCCCGGCCGCCCGGGCACTTTCCCCGCAAGAGAAGGCCCGGCTGCCTATAGCCCCTTACGACCCTGGGGAATCGAATTTGTACAATTTTCGGGAGTGCTGCATTTGCTTGACAGATTTCGAGCGGACGGATTTGGTGAGAAAATTGCCCTGTGGGCATGTCTACCACTCGGAGGTGAGAAGCGAGGGAGAAAGGCCGAGAGAGCAACGGGAGCGTTAGTGGGAGAATCCGCCTGGTGGGGAGGAGCCACGTTTCTGCGTGTTTTCAAGAAGGTATGGCCCTCAGGCCCTCACATGAAGCCCGTTCCCTCCTTCCCAGTGCGTTGATTGCTGGTTTTCGGTGAACTCCGTCTGCCCGCTCTGCAAGTCCGACGTCCGCGACAAGCTCGGTGTCGGCGCAGAGGGAGCAGGCATGGTCCCCTTCTGGCGCATGCGTGCGGCCCTCCATCTGATCCAACGGCGGTTGCTCTGGCCCGCCGGTCATCTTCTCCATCTCCACCGCCCTCCTCCTCACGGATCTGCCCTCTCCTTTCCAGGCAATCGAGAGGCGGAAGGTGGAAGGGGAAGTGGGAGCGGCAGGCGGTGGCTGAGCAGCAGGGGGTGGTTAGGCGGGGACCGAGGGGTACTGTCGATCGATTGGCAGCCCAGAGCCCCGACGGCGGAAAGGGAGGGGGAGGAGCGTTGGCCGCGATGGGATCAGGGCGGGGAGCAGAACGTGCGAGGAGAGGAAGTCGTAGTGTTCGAATTTGCACCTGGAGGGGCTGAGAGGGGAGGGCGGGCGGTGGAGGAAGGGGGCCGGGGCGAGGAGGGAGGACATGGATGGGGGGTCAATGAAGGGAATAGGGGCGGGGACACAGCCGGCGTGGATTTAGAGCGTGGCGACGTGGACAACCGAGCAGGTGGAGGAAGGGAGGGTGAGGAGGACGGGAGGGGGAGGGAGGAGACGGGGCTCCGGGTCCCGCAATGATGCGGCAGCTGGAGGGGGCAGGCGCGTGGAAAGTGCTGTCTGCGCGTGGAAAGTGCTGTCTGCACATCACGGTCAAAGTGGACATAAGGCTGGGGGAGAGGAGATTCAAGGCATACGACGAGCGCTTCTTAACGTACGGTTGCCGTCGCCGTGAAAGTTTTGGAGTGAGGAGAGTAAACGGGGAGAAGCTTCGAGGTGACGGAGTGGGACCTCGCCGAAAGGCGAGTGCAGGCGCCGCCGCGTGTACATACGTAGGGAGCAGAAAAGAGAAAGGCTCTCGTTTATATTTGTGTATAAAGGGGGGAAGATTGTCAAGACAGCTAACGGGCGAGAGTAAGGACACGAAAGTCTGGTGGTAGCGGAGGCCCACACCTGCGGGAAAGAGCCCCAGCCTCGCCCTTATAGGAACCGGCTTGGATGTGGACGCAGCGGAAAGTTGCCGCGGCGTGGGGATAATGCCGGGCTTGGTCGCGCGGGAGGCTGTAGTATAAACAAGGAACCTAGAGGTCTGCTGCCGGATGCTAGGGATGCACGGCAGGACGGTCAAAAAGCATAGACATGTAAAGAGGATTTTCTATGCGGGAAATAAGAGCCAGTCAAATATTCCAGGCGATAAAATAAAGAAAGAAACAAAAGATCTTTCTTTTCGACCTCAAGTGTCTTGTTCCTGTGCGCTCGGCGTCGACTGAGATAAGAAGGAGCACATTGCCTGTCCAAACTGAGCCTCAATCCTCTCTCACCATTCGTGCTCCAGCCCACCCACCAAAAAAAGGAGCGACTACAACCTCAAACCCTTCCCACCCCCGGCCAACCGCTCCTCTTCCAGCTGCTTCTTCTCCAGCTCCTCGATGAACTGCTTCCACTCCGCGAAGGAGACCAATCCACTGCCGTCCAAATCGAAGTCATCGAACGACGGATACTCCACGTCTGCTAGCTCAGGATGTGCCGCAAAATAAGACCGCAGGTAGGCCTCAAACTCCGCCCTTGAGATTTTATTGTCGTTATTGGCGTCCGGAAGCTTGAACTCAGCGACCTTCCTCTTGTTTGGGTCCGTCTCCGGGTGCTGCAGTATCCCCTCTAATTGAGCAATCAAAGAGTCCACGTAGTCCGCATTGACTTCCAACGCTTGGTACGCCTCCCCAAACTGAGCCACGATCGCTTCCTTCCGCTGCTGGTAGGAAGCTATGAGCTTATCGCTTTTCTTCTGATGTGCTTGTTTAAGCCGCTTGGCCTGCCACCGATAGTATAGCTGTCCAAAGCTCCAGCTGGCAAGGGCACCCACGGCTCCAGTTTTCATCATCCCCCAAAATCTGCTTGGATAGTGTTCACACCATGGAGAATGTATTGGCTAATTGACTTTACAATTTACTTCTTTTGGTGATCATGCTTGCAGGCAAGAACGAGATTGTGTTTATTACGAAGAATGACGCCTGAAGACACACAACCCAAGTCATCACATGTGCAATATGACATACAAACGCCCACACAGCGGGAGTAAATTGAAAAGCGAGGCATTTTACTTGTCGAGCCTGCACGCATGCCTCTTCAACAGCCTCATTCCTCCGTATAAACCTTACCTGCCCGAATCTTTTCGCCCTATGTCACGAAACTCAGGCCTCGGCCGTTGTTGCTGATATTGTTGTTGCTCATAAACTTGTGCTTTTACACTCTCAGCAAGGCAGGCAACCAGTAAGACCGGGGTCAAGGAAGCGATGCTCCAGCAACCCCTCATTCCTCGTCCTCGAGCGGGTCCTCCCCTTCTGACGCAAGAATTGTACTTGAAGGGGTTTAGAGCAAAAAATAAGAACACGGAGTCGGATTTACGTATACGCAAGCTGCCTCAAAAAAGAACCGAAATAAATCATGCATACATGAACAAACCTGCAGTGGCTTAACAGGAGGGGAAGAGCTTCAGGGGTTAAGTCCGGGTATCTTCTTCTACGGCAGCCCCTTTCCAAGCTCGTTCCCCAAATCGTCCCGTACAAAGCAAGCCACGTCGTTCTGCGAGCTTCGAGTCGCCAAACTATAGTACATTGCTTCTTTTTCGGATTCATTCAACCCCACTGTTGTAAGAAGCGTTTCACGTAGGGTTTCGTCCGGCACATACCAACCCTCTGGCTTTTCTGGGTTTTCAGGCACTGCCTGGCATGAGACGCACTGTTGCTGACGTTTTTCTCTATCTCTGTACACGGCCTCAATCCCTTTCTCTTAAGGATATTGCCTTATTTTTTCATCACAAATCCTTTTTTTGGCTACAGGAGAAGCGAGTCCACGATGTGGGCAACCCTGCATCTGAACCTCCCCACCCCGCCTAAAAATAACACGACGGACACGCGTTTGGATTGCAGCAGCCGAATCCAGGAGCCTCGATCTCACCATTGGCAATCATGTTGTGCGCATCCAATTCTTCCGGGAAGGCTTTCAAGAGGAAGAGTACCCCTGTTACAAAATGTTTGGTGTGTATTATGTTGCATTGAGAAAGGCAGAAAAGGACGGTCACGGAAGCAAAATACCTTTCGGTGTGATAAATCATACTCACGTTTTCTGACATATACATAGCTCGATATAACAATGACAACACCGATGGCGAAGCCGGCGATGGCTGGGTGGAAAGACAATTTAGGATCAGAGACGTTAGAGGATGAGATTAGAAAAGCTCGCATAACTTGAGGCGTGAAAAGAGGAGATTCAAGGTACTCTAGCTTGCACATGCTCGGAACGGCCCTTGCCATTGAGTGCCATTGAGTGTCGTGGGATTATTAATCCCAGAGCATGCTTTCTCGCGCACGTACCAAGATTGCCCGACGCAAAGAGGAACGACGCAAAGTCGTAAGTTCCTGTGAGCAAGGGAAGAAGCCGGAGGTGAGAGAGCGGGAGGCATTGAAGCTCCTCCAACGCCCCGCGCAAGTGCACGCACCATGGATCAAGACTGGGAGTATGAGCGTCTTGTACCACCTCTCCGTGTCCTGCTGGAAGAATTTGCGTTCGGCAAGCGACGTGCCAATGATCAGCCCAGTGGCGCAGTGCAGAGGTACCGAGGTGAAGGCCCGGACGATGGCCGTACCCAGACCGTAGGAGAGGTTATACATCAAGTCCTCCACCGTGCCAAACGCACTGCCCGCGCAGCAGCTGTACACCACGAGGGCGCGCGGGTCCACAACGTAGGACTTGTAGATGATGCGGCGGACCGCCAGGTATTTGGCTGACTCCTCGAAAAAGCCGGCGATCAGGTAGGCCTGTAAGAAGGAGGAGAGAATGCACATGCCGCAAAGCCCATCCTTGGGCAAGTTTGTCCGGACGATGAGGAAGTAATTGGTCACATTTTCCAGGATGACGATAGGGATCATCCACAGGACGGCTTCGAAGAAGGTGATGAGCATCTGCAATCAGAGTAACGGCGAGAGCAGGCATGAGAAAAGAAGAAAGAACCAAATATTTAAAAGTTGACTACAACAACGATGAGCATGAGAGCATGATGAAGACAATAAATTGAAGTGGATGTTATCTTCTTACCTGCATGCGGATAACGGACTTGCGAAAGCGCATCTCGAGGAAAGAGAGGAGGGTGATGGCGGGCAACACAGACAGAAGGACAAGCCCTAATTCCCGCAAGGCCCTGGATGCGATGAGTGCCGCCGCGGTGATAAGAAGAATGTAGCCGCTGAACCACTTGCAGAAGGAGGAAGCGCAGGACGTGGTGCAGTAATCCGTGCTCTCCAAGTTCGCGTTGGGACGGTCCACGGCGGTAGGTTGTTGATGCCCACTCTCAAGCCCGCTGTTGTTGGCGTCTCCTTGCGGTGGCCCCGCATAGGTACCGGTGGTCGACCTATCACTATACGGATATGAAGATGCTACTGCTGGCATACCATTGGGAGGGAAAGGTGTTGCGGCCCCCGAAGAGGCGGTAGTAGTGCCGGAGAGAGTGTGAGGCAGAGGTGGTTGGTATTGCGTGCTACTGCTCCCAGGGTACCCATTGGATATGGCCACGGGGCGGTATAAATCTGAAGACGGATTTACTGTCCGTCTGTTTGGAGACAAACTCATGATTATGTCTGCAGAGGGCAATTAATCTTTGGAAATCGAGGCGTTGATAAGTACCATGGTTCTTAACATGTAAACGTTGTGTTGCGTTTTGAAATCCGAACAAAAAACAAATGCTGGCCAAGTGCATGATGCACAAGCATACAATTCATACACACTGCACACACACGCAACGCGGAAGGACGAATTCTCAAGGCCCCCGTCTTAGCATGCTACACCCGGGGCGGTGGGGTCTGGCCTCGTCTCGCTCCTTTCCTCTCAGGGAAAGATACTCTTGGAGCACGGGCGCAGAAAAAGTACCCGCCAGCCCCGCGCTCGTCGTATGCAGGCCCCTCGCTTCCTTTCTTGGCCTACGTGACAGCGTGCTTTGTGACACATGAATGAAGTGACCTCTTTCACCTTTCTACCACTCCTTGTCCTTCACTTGAAAGGCAGGGGCTTCCCAGTGGTGGCGGTGGTCGTATCATCACCAGACAAGGGCAACGGACAGATGAGTGGCCTGCCGGACGACGCAATTGCGAGGGCAAAGGCCATCGCTGCTCGCCTCACAGCAAGCCTGGGTCCCGAGGGTGGGGGTGGAGGTACTAAACGACGTTTTGGGGACGGGGAATCGGAAGAGCCGCGGAAGCGGGAGAAGATTTTTATCCCGAAAGACAATCCTGATTTCAACTTCTTCAGCTTGTTGATTGGTCCCCGGGGATCAACGCAAAAACGTCTTCAGGAAAACACCGGGGCGCGAATTAACATCCGTGGCTCGGACGGTTCGAAAGGGGAAGAGGCACCTGAAGGAGAACCGCAAGAGGATATGCACGTGCTGATCGAAGGCACGGAGGAGCAGGTAGCAGCCGCCAAGAAGGAAGTGGAGAAGATTTTATTCGACCCCGCCGAAGCCATGCGTCTCAAGGCGGCGCAACTGCGGAACCTGGCTGAATTGAAAGGTGGCTACTCGCCCGGCGGCAGCGCGAGTGGGGGGGGCGGTGACGAAGGACATTATGGCCCCGTGCGCTCCAAGCCGGGCCTGGGGTTCGGGGCGGAACCGGAGACGGGGGACATGAAGATACCCTCGAGCATGGTCGGGCTGGTGATCGGACGAGGGGGTGAAAACATCCAAAAAATCACGGCTAAAACGGGCTGCTTTGTGCAGGTGTCGAAGGAGACGGAGCCGGGCGAGAACACGCGTGCGGTGAGTGTGAAAGGCCCCACCAAGGAGGGCGTGGCGGAGGCGCTGCAAATGATCCAGGGGCAGGTGGATGAGGCCCAGGCAGAGCGGAGCAAACCGCGCGCGGGGACCGGGGGTGGGGGCCTAAGAAGGAGCA